TCCCGCCAACAGCGAGCCATCACACAGGGGATAGGGGAGATGGAGGAGGCGGAGAAGCTGTTGCTGTCAGCCGCCACTCACCTGGACACTGACGGCTGTGTACTGAAGCTCCTGTGTCACCTGAACAACAAACAGGTAGATGCTCGTACGCTGGAGGAAACCGTCCTCCTCCAAATGTTCTCCGACAACCTGGAGACCATGTCCTCCTACAACACAGCCTTCCAGGAGACTAGAGATGTCGACCAGACCCAAGACCAAGTAACATGTGACAAGATGTTCCCCAACTGTCCCCTGACGGAGGAGGAGCTGGGTAGTCTCTTGCGGCAGACGTGGGGCTGTGGGAGCCTCAACCATTAACGTGTATGACAGACGCGGAGCTTCAAAATGTCCTGTCATAGTTCAAGTTTACTATTTCCAAGTAATTGTTGAGATATCTACATAATGAACGGAGAATTACGTTCATTATACCCGAATATAACACTGTAGTTAATTTCACCGGGAAACAAACCAACTCTCAGTGTTTGTGTCAATGAACTTATACTTTTTCGTCTGGTTAATACTATAGATGGCGTCTGCCGGTCTATTTATATACACACAATAAACTTACGCAAGTATAATTTGTTGGAAACCTAACCTAACCTAACCTAACCTAACCTAACCTAACCTGACCCACTTTAATTTTAGCAGGTTAGGTTAAGGTAAAGACAATTTCTTTCACCTCTCAATATAATTTGTTGTTGTGTTATTATTGTTGTGATTGATGTTGTTATTGACGTTATTGTTATTGTTGTTGTTATGATCTATATTCAAGTATGTATATGTAATTGTGTATGTATATGTATATTGTGTATGTATGTGTATATTGTGTATGTATGTGTAATTGTGTAAGTTCTATTTATTTATTGAGTGATGAGGCAATAAAACTATTTCTATTTCACGAGACGAAATCAACTATTTTTTTCTTCCTTAACAGTATAATTATTGATGTACATTTCTATAAAAGGTTAGGTTAGGTTAGGCAATGCTATCATCCCCAAAAGGTTAAATTGTGACCTATAAAGGGTTAAAAATGTAAACTTCAAATTATTAACATAAAAGGGTTAAATTCTCAAACACAAAGGGTTAAGCATAACATGTTAATTAGCTACAGGTAATGTAGACTCATTAGTGTGGCAGCCAGGTGAACTAAAGCCCTTAACCTCATGAGTACGATGACTTAATCCTTGAGTATGAAGATTTAACCCTTGAGTACGATGACTTATGCCTTTGAATTCGATGATTCAATCCCTTGAGTACGGTAACTTAACCCCTTGAGTATGATGACTTAACCCCTTGAGTATGATGACTTAACCCCTTGAGTATGATGACTTAACCCCTTTAGTATGATGGCTTGACTCCTTGAGTATGATGACTTAACCCCTTGAGTATGATGACTTAACCCCTTTAGTATGATGGCTTGACTCCTTGAGTATGATGACTTAACCCCTTGAGTATGATGACTTAACCCCTTTAGTATGATGGCTTGACTCCTTGAGTATGATGACTTAACCCCTTGAGTATGATGACTTAACCCCTTTAGTGTGATGGCTTGACTCCTTGAGTATGATGACTTAACCCCTTGAGTATGATGACTTAACCCCTTTAGTATGATGGCTTGACTCCTTGAGTATGATGACTTAACCCCTTGAGTATGATGACTTAACCCCTTTAGTGTGATGGTAGCAAAAGTTGCAGGGGTGATGGTGGTAGTTGTGGTAGTGTGTATGGTGGTAGTTGTTGGGATGGTGATAGTGGTGGTAGTTGTTGGGTATGGTGGTAGTGGTGGTAGTTGTTGGGTATGGTGGTAGTGGTGGTAGTTGTTGGGTATGGTGGTAGTGGTGGTAGCTGGGTATGGTGGTAGTGGTGGTAGTTGTTGGGCATGGTAGTGGCATGGTGGGTAGTTGTTAATGGTGTGGGTGGTGGTAGGTAGTTGTTGGTGTATGGTGGTAGTGGTGGTAGTGGTGGTAGTTGTTGGGTATGGTGGTAGTGGTGGTAGTTGTTGGGTATGGTGGTAGTGGTGGTAGTTGTTGGGTATGGTGGTAGCGGTGGTAGTTGTTGGGTATGGTGGTAGTGGTGGTAGTTGTTGGGATGGTGGTAGTAGTGGTAGATTCTATCGTATATGGTAGTTAGGTTTATCATGTGATTCCGGGTGAATAGAAGGAGGTCAACTCTCTAGCTGATTGGCTTTCCTCACCCAACAAGCAACCCACCAAGCCACCCACCCACCCACCCACCCACCCAGCCAGGCCTCAGTGTTAGTAGGTCAAGCACTCATAATATAAAGACGACCCCCAAGACCCTGACCTGCACAGACCCTCTCCGCCGCCGCTTCTATCCGCTGCTGCTGTCTGGTCTCGTGTCTCGTGGATATATAACTGGTCTGGCCTCGTATAGAGAAGGTATATGTCCTGAATATATTTAGAGGTTATTGGTCTCTCTCTCTCTCTCTCACTCTCTCTCTCTGTGCTTTATTTACTAATGTTATTTTAGCTGTTTATATTATCTCAACTAATGTATAAATTCTGTGATTTTTATATGCATGTCTGTGTATGTCTGAGAGAGAGAGAGAGAGAGAGAGAGAGAGAGAGAGAGAGAGAGAGAATACGTAAACATCTACATTAATAATCACACACACACACACACACACACACACACACACACACACACACACACACACACACACACACACACACACACACCTGAGCATCACCTGTATCTTACCTGCCGCAGATGCGACTTGGGGTGACAGTATGTGTGGTGGCCGCCCTCCTTACTGTAGCTGACGGTCTAGTGGGTCCAAACAGCGGTGTACCGGGAGGTATTATCGCCTACCTGTGGGTAATTGCAAAGGTAAGAATACGATTTAATGAAGGAAAAAAAATAGCATTCATAACTGATCCAAAAAATAAGGTTGAGTTTATTTTTTATTTGAATTAATTGTTATATAAAATTGACTTTAGTTTATACTTAAAAAAACGAAAAAAACAGACTTACTGTCCCATTGTATTGTGTACATTTTGATTCACTGTTAATTTGTATGATGATCTATCTATCTAGGCCTTTCAACAGCTTAGGCCTATTTCACACCACCCAAATATCATTACCAGAGAGTTTATGGTTGTGACACCTTCCCCTTAACCCTTTACGACACCTTCCCCTAACTCTTTACGACACCTTCCCCTAACACTTTACGACACCTTCCCCTAACTCTTTACGACACCTTCCAATAACTCTTTACGACACCTTCCCCTAACACTTTACGACACCTTCCCTTAACCCTTTACGACACCTTCCCCTAACCCTTTACGACACCTCCCCTTAACCCTTTACGACACCTTCCCCTAACTCTTTACGACACCTTCCCCTAACTCTTTACGACACCTTCCCCTAACCCTTTACGACACCTTCCCCTAACCCTTTACGACACCTTCCCTAACTATTTACGACACCTTTCATCTAACCTTTTACGAAACCTAACCATTTACGACACCTAACCCTTTACACCTAACCCTTTACGACACCAAACCCTTTACGACACCTAACCCTTTACGACACCTTCCCTAACCCTTTATGACACCTAACCATTTACGACACCTAACCCTTTACGACACAAACAACCAAACCCTTTACGAAACCTAACCATTTAAGACACCTAACCTTTACGACACAATTCCCTAACCATTTACGACACCTTCCCTAACCCTTTACGACACTAACCCTTACGACACCTTCCCCTAACCCTTTACGACACCTTCCCTAACCCTTTACGACACCTTCCCTAACTCTTTACGACACCTTCCCTAACTCTTTAACAACCCTTTACGACACCTTCCCTAACTTTACGACACCTTTCATCTAACCTTTACGAAACCTAACCATTTACGACACCTAACCCTTTACACCTAACCCTTTACGACACCAAACCAACGACCTAACCCTTTACGACACCTTCCCTAACCCTTTATGACACCTAAGCATTTACGACACCTAAACCCTTTACGACACCAAACCCTTTACGACACCAACCCTTTACGAAACCTAACCATTTACAGACACAATTCCCTAACCATTTACGACACCTTCCCTAACCCTTTACGACACCTTCCCTAACCCTTTACGACACCTTCCCTAACCCTTTACGACACCTAACCATTTACGGCACCTAACCGTTTGCGACACCTTCCCCTACCCTTTACGACACCTAACCATTTACGACACCTAACCCACTTTACCCTAACCCTTTACGACACCTTCCCTAACCCTTTACGACATTCTCCTAACCCTTTACGACACCTTCCCCTAACCCTACGACACCTTCCCCTAACCCTTTACGACACCTTCCTAACCCTTTCTCCTAACCCTTTACGACACCTTTACGACACTTTCTCCTTTACGAGACCTAACCATTTACGACACCTAACCCTTTACGACACATTCCCTAACCCTTTACACATTCCCTAACCCCTTTACGACACATTCCCCTAACCCTTTACGACACTTTCTCCTTTACGACACCTAACCACTTACACCTAACCCTTTACGACACCTAACCATTTACGACACCTAACCGTTTACGACACCTTCCCCTAACCCTTTACGACACCTTCCCCTAACCCTTTACGACACATTCCCCTAACCCTTTACGACACCTTTCCCTAACCCTTTACACCTAACCATTTGCGACACCCTCCCCTAACCCTTTACGACACCTAACCCTTTACGACACCTTAACTCTTCTCTGCACACAGGTCGCTCTCTCAGTTGTGTTACTCAAGAAAGGTTTGGAGGACAAGAAATATGATAATTACGAGAGACGGTCACACCATACACCACCACTACCCTACCTGGTGCCCTCTCTCCCAGGCCGTTCTTCACCTTCTGCGTACCCAAACACCCGTAGGAACCACAAGAGAGCTATAGAGGAGGAGATGATAACGAGGGAGATGGAGGAGATGGTGATGAAAGAGGTGAAGGAGGTGGAGAAACTGTTGCTGTCAGCCGCCACTCACCTGGACACTGACGGCTGTGTGCTGAAGCTCCTGTGTCACCTGAACAACAAACAGGTAGATGGACTCTCTCAGGAAGAAGCTGTTCTCCTTAAGCTGTTCCACAATACTTCAACCCACAAGACCCAAGACCAAGCCACGTGTGACCAGATGTTCCCGCAGTGTGTCCTGAAGGAGGTGGAACTGAGTAGTCTACAGCAGGAGACTTGGGGCTGTGGGACCTTTTCTGTCTAGCGCGCGCGTGTGTGGTCATTCCTGATAATAACATCCATCACAAACACTTCATCTTATTGTAACTTTATCTCACATGGCCTTCCATATTGTTCTACATCATCATCATCATCATCATCACTGTATAAACTATATAAACTAATTGGTTAAAGGATATTACCTGATTATTATTATACCTTAAACATAATTATTAAATAGAAAGGGAGACGGATTCGGATTCATAAGTCTGACCTCGTGTTCAGAACTAGTGTGGTAGTATGTTAGTTTGTATTCGTGTTATAATAAGTCTTTTTTTTCATATTTAAATAGGATAAATATCGTGTGCAGATATTAAGTGAGTGAGGTGGTGGTGGGGTGACTCGCTCTCTCTACCTCTCTCTTTGATATGTTTTGACGGGACTAACCTTCTCTTACTGTTGCTATATTGATTATTACCGCCTTGATGTTGATGCCGAAGGGAAGATTGTGTTGAACATATATAGAAGACGGAGAAATAGAGTAGTAAGGCTTAAAGAATTTGCTTGGGAAGGTCTGAAATTGTATGATGTTTTCTTGTCAACAACTACGGTCAAAAGCACGGAATGTGTCAGGGTTACGGCACTTACCAGCACAAGGTCCATTACTTTCTCCTTTAACTATCCACGTCGGAATAAATACAATCCATTTATGACTGATCTTTCAACATATTAATTTTATTTTTCTAATTCAAAGATGATGGGAACTCTTTTAGTGGAAAATCTTTGATAATTCAGGAATTTGGTATCGAGGGTGAGTGGAGGAGGTGCTGGAAACGCATAGGATAGCGGTAGGGGGGGGGGGGTGCGGTTAGAAACCTTTATATAACTCTTCATTATATTCAAAGTAAATATATTTGGGTATATAAATAGTGTTAATTAATCACTTGACTTAATATAAAGATTATTGACCTTAAAAATATAAGAGATAAAATGTCTATTTGTTTACACGGAAAGCACGACACATTTTCAGTATCTTATGTTAATAGTTAAATGAATTCCATATTTTTCCTGTTTTCTATGAACTGTGGGGCAACTTACAGGTTTATTAAGGTATTTTAGGTTTAGTAACACTTCAAGTTTATTAAAACACTTTAGGTTTATGTTCTAAGTTTATTAACGCATTTTAGGATGTGACAAATCAACATGAAATTACAAAACGTGAACACAGTTGAAGGAAATTATTTGTGGCAATTACTAACATACAAGCAAAATTGCTAACAAATTACATATCATTAGGAAAAGTAGTTTTGTTGACTCTGTTTAAGGTAATTAACAAAAGTAATGCTCTAGATCACCAACAAAAGTATTAAGCAATGTACTAAACTTAATTTAAGTAAGTGGGTTGGAGTGAAGTAAAAGGAAAGTGGAAGAAAATGGAGGGAGGGAAAGAGGGAAGGATGGAGGGAGGGAAGGAGGGAAGGAAGGAGGGAGGGAAAGAGGGAGGGAGGAAAGGAGGGAAGGAAGGAGGGAGGAAAGGAAGGAGGGAGGGAAGGAGGGAGGGAGGGAAGGAGGGAAGGAAGGAGGGAGGGAGGTGAAGGAGGGAAGGAAGGAGGGAGGGAGGGAAAGAGCGTCCTGTGTCCTCCTCCAGGTATAGGTGTAGTGGAGGGAGGGAAGGTGTAGTGTCCTCTCCCGTCACCCTCACTCTGGATCAGGACGTGTAGGAGTGTTACTCTGACTTGTCTTCAAAGACGTCAAAGCCACAGCCCCAAGCCTGCTGCAGGAGGGAGCTCAACTCAGTGTCACTCAACTGGCACTTGTGGAAGAGCTGGTCGCAGACGGCAGATTTACCAGTCCTCCTGCCGATATCTATGGCGTGGACGAAGGGGGCATTGTAGGCGGTAACTTCCGTCCTGTTGGCGAATAGTTCAGCCAGAAGCTTCTCCTCCAGGGTGCGAGAGCCCTCCTTCTTCGTTTGTAGTTGGCACAAGGTCTTTAGAATGCAGCCATTTTGGTCGAGTTCGCCAACAGTGGTCAGCAGAAGTTGTTCATCGCCCTCACCGGGGTTCTCCACAGATCGCTTACCAATACCCTTCAGAAGTCCTAATGGTCCCAAGTGGCCGCCAAGACCTACACCTCCCAGCTTGAACTTCCAATACAACGCCTGAGAATGATTATCACACGAGTGAGTCAACAGCAGTAGTCTTCAGTACAGTAAATAATATAATAATCTTGTGTGTTATGTCCAGCAAACTCTTAACAATTCTTTACCTAGTTCTTATTTCAAACACACATTGGTTAAAACATAGTGACTATGTGTACAGGAGACGTTAACAATGTATCTATGTGTGTACAGGAGACGTTAACAATGTATCTATGTGTGTACAGGAGACGTTAACAATGTTTCTATGTGTGTACAGAAGACGCTAACAATGTATCTATGTGTGTACAAGAGACGTTAACAATGTATCTATGTGTGTACAGGAGACGTTAACAATGTATCTATGTGTGTACAGGAGACGTTAACAATGTTTCTATGTGTGTACAGGAGACGTTAACAATGTATCTATGTGTGTACAAGAGACGTTAACAATGTTTCTATGTGTGTACAGGAGACGTTAACAATGTATCTATGTGTGTACAGGAGACGTTAACAATGTATCTATGTGTGTACAGGAGACGTTAACAATGTATCTATGTGTGTACAGGAGACGTTAACAATGTATCTATGTGTGTACAGGAGACGTTAACAATGTATCTATGTGTGTACAGGAGACGTTAACAATGTATCTATGTGTGTACAGGAGACGTTAACAATGTATCTATGTGTGTACAGGAGACGTTAACAATGTATCTATGTGTGTACAGGAGACGTTAACAATGTTTCTATGTGTGTACAGGAGACGTTAACAATGTATCTATGTGTGTACAACAGACGTTAACAATGTATCTATGTGTGTACAACAGACGTTAACAATGTATCTATGTGTGTACAGGAGACGTTAACAATGTATCTATGTGTGTACAGGAGACGTTAACAATGTATCTATGTGTGTACAACAGACGTTAACAATGTATCTATGTGTGTACAGGAGACGTTAACAATGTATCTATGTGTGTACAGCAGACGTTAACAATGTATCTATGTGTGTACAGCAGACGTTAACAATGTTTCTATGTGTGTACAGGAGACGTTAACAATGTATCTATGTGTGTACAGGAGACGTTAACAATGTATCTATGTGTGTACAGGAGACGTTAACAATGTTTCTATGTGTGTACAGGAGACGTTAACAATGTTTCTATGTGTGTACAGGAGACGTTAACAATGTATCTATGTGTGTACAGGAGACGTTAACAATGTTTCTATGTGTGTACAGGAGACGTTAACAATGTATCTATGTGTGTACAGCAGACGTTAACAATGTATCTATGTGTGTACAGCAGACGTTAACAATGTTTCTATGTGTGTACAGGAGACGTTAACAATGTATCTATGTGTGTACAGGAGACGTTAACAATGTATCTATGTGTGTACAGGAGACGTTAACAATGTTTCTATGTGTGTACAGGAGACGTTAACAATGTATCTATGTGTGTACAGGAGACGTTAACAATGTATCTATGTGTGTACAGGAGACGTTAACAATGTATCTATGTGTGTACAGGAGACGTTAACAATGTATCTATGTGTGTACAGAAGACGTTAACAATGTATCTATGTGTGTACAGGAGACGTTAACAATGTATCTATGTGTGTACAGGAGACGTTAACAATGTATCTATGTGTGTACAGGAGACGTTAACAATGTATCTATGTGTGTACAGGAGACGTTAACAATGTATCTATGTGTGTACAGAGACGTTAACAATGTATCTATGTGTGTACAGGAGACGTTAACAATGTTTCTATGTGTGTACAGGAGACGTTAACAATGTATCTATGTGTGTACAGGAGACGTTAACAATGTATCTATGTGTGTACAGGAGACGTTAACAATGTATCTATGTGTGTACAGGAGACGTTAACAATGTTTCTATGTGTGTACAGGAGACGTTAACAATGTATCTATGCGTGTACAGGAGACGTCACTACAGTGTTCCATTGACAATCACGACTACTAATGGCTCCCAGAACTTACCTTGAGAGCAGCTAGGCCAACTACACCAGTTGTGACACCACCAAGGGGGAACAGCCCCTCGACCTGAACACTGGCCCAGGACACCAAACACAACACCAAGGCAACGGAGCTGACACGCATCTGAAAACAACGAGAACAGAACCTTTGATACAGCTTGATCATATTCACCATTTCCCTTCTACGCTTCTTTGGAATAGTGTCAACAAATTTATAGTGAAATCCCAACGGCAAAATGGATATTCTGAACGTGACATTTAGCAAAATTTAACACAGGAACCTTCAACACAATTATTACATTAGAAAGTTGAGGAATGAAAATTTAACACAGGAACCTTCAACACAATTATTACGTTAGAAAGTTTATGAATGAAAACTTAACACAGGAACCTTCAACACAATTATTACGTTAGAAAGTTTATGAATGAAAACTTAACACAGGAACCTTCAACACAATTATTACATTAGAAAGTTTATGAATGAAAATTTAACAGAGGAAACTCGAAGAGAATGAATCAGGGAGAAAGAAAGTTTGATATAAGGAACATTCAGTTCAACACCTTACCTTGTCTACTAGGTTTGATGGTCTTGTTGGTAATGTGGATGATGAGCCTAGTACCACCTACCTTATATACCTGCCCACAATGTCAGGTTCAGGTCATTTTTGTGCCTGCAACTTCTTTTCTTGGAAGCAATTGAGAAGCAGATCCCAAATTACTGTTGTGAGTGAAAACGACGAGCATACCGTTGCATCCGTCATAACGGGTCTGGAATATTAGATAATTTTAAAAGAATTTGAGATTGTGTTTCGTGCTTTAGTCATTATCACCTTGAAATCATCGTCTCTGTTATACCATATTGGTTAGTTTGTTTACGTAATGGTATGAAATAATATGAAATTAGATGAAAGGTGATGGTACGTTAATCTATCCCTGGAGGGTAAAGAGGCTCGGCTAGGGCCAGTCTGTCCTTGCTAACTTTCTCCTGCAGCCACGGCGGAAACTCTTGGTATGTGTCTCTCTCCTCCAGGTGTTTCCGCGTGAAAAAAGAAAAATAAAACAACTTGAACATGTCGAGAAAACTACACAAAGTACTCATTGATAAATATATGAAAGGAAAATAACATCCCTTAGTTGTTTTCCGGCTATAAACGAAATGAATGTAAAACGCGATCCCTTCATTGTTTTCGGATTATAAACGAAGTGAATGTACAAGAATACAATATCTCAGTTGTTTTCGGGTTATAAGCGATATGAACACAAAAAACGATCTATTTGTTTCGGGTTATAAGCGATTCAACTCCATATACCCAAGAATGAATTCGATATTGTTGATATTATTGTAACCAGTGGCATATATGTTTCTAGAAAAGAGGGTTGGAGGCAAGACTTAAAAATAGGAACACTATTTTATTTCCATTCAGTGGCATATGAATTACTCAAATTTGATTTTTTCATGTTTATTTTCTTATGATCATATTACATTTACCTCCAGCCACACCGAGTTTTCAAGTATCTATGCCCACGCGAACTGGTTGTGTTGTGTTGGATGAGTTGAGTTTTAGTTTAATAAATTTATTGACAAAGTTTGGAGTACAGTTTGCCTATTCTGAGTAATTCAGTCAGGTCTTGACACTGAGGGTGGTATCACTTCTCACTGCCACGCAGCACAGAGGTTCATACACAAAGGAATACATCATATTCATTGATAGTATTTATAGGTCAGATTCATGTGAGTGATGTCACTGTTCACTGCCACGCAGGACAGAGGTTCATACACAAAGGAATACATCATATTCATTGATAGTATATATAGGTCAGAGTCATGTGAGTGATGTCACTGTTCACTGCCATGCAGGACAGAGGTTCATACACAAAGAAATGCATCATATTGATTAGCAGTATATATAGGTCAGAGTCATGTGGGTGATGTCACTGTTCACTGCCATGCAAGACAGTGGTTCATATACATTGGACGTCATATTCTAATTGAAGACTAATCAGTGTGGGCTAGCAAATTTGGGATACACAGCAACAATGTCCTCAAGCACCCCTGAATCAATGTAGTAATTACAAAGTTCATGATACAATAAGCCAGGTGGCCTGAAGTCTTTGACTTAAGGGCAGTAGCAAAAGGGGGAGGGGGTACATGGCTCCCCCCGCCCCACATATACGCCACCGACTGTCAGAGAGGGATCATTTTTTATTGTTTATAAATTGGTGGTAAAAAAAACTGATGCTATTTTATTTAAGAGATCGCTTACTATCATAACTTAATTAAACGATAATTAAATTTGGTTAGGTTAGGTTTGATAAGTATACTCCACCATGATAGAAGAAAATACAATGAGGATACCAACCGTGATAGAATCTACCAGTAAAATCCTATCATGGTAGACATTGCCTTAAACCTAACATGTTACATCCTGTCACTTTAGAGTCGACCATGATTGATTGTATCATGACAACTTACCATTCTATCATGATAAACTCTACCATAAATATTCTGTCTCCAATAGATTCTACCATGTGTTCTATTGGTACCCCACCATAGGTCCTACCATAATACACTTCTAGAGTAGACTACCATGATAGACTCCTCCATGTTATACTACCATGATAGATTCCACCATGACAGACTCTACCATGTTATACTATCATGATAGATTCCACCATGTTATACTATCATGATAGACTCCACCATGTTATACTGCCATGATAGATTCCACCATGTTATAGTACCATGATACTCTCCACCATGTTATACTACCATGATAGACTCAACCATAATATACGACCATGATGCTGCCTAATAGATTATCATGATGCTACCATGATATCCTCCCATGATAGACTCCACCATAATATACTACCATTATAGACTCTACCGTAATATACTACCATGATAGACTCCACCATGATATACCACCATGATAGACTCCACCATAATATACTACCATGATAGACTCCACCATAATATACTACCATGATAGACTCCACCATGATATACCACCATGATAGACTCCACCTTGATATACTACCATGATAGACTCCACCATGATATACCACCATGATAGACTCCACCATGATATACCACCATGATATACCACCATGATAGACTCCACCATGATATACCACCATGATAGACTCCACCATAATATACTACCATGATAGACTCCACCATGATATACCACCATGATAGACTCCACCATAATATACTACCATGATAGACTCCACCATAATATACTACCATGATAGACTCCACCATGATATACCACCATCCTTGACCACCGAAGGGTCAAGACGTACCTGGCGCTCCTCTCGGAGCAGCCAGGTCAACTGTTAAGTTGGCCCATACCAACCCCCTCCCCTGAACCCTCCTCCCCACCGGAATATCAACAAGTTCTCACCAGAAGTTACAATTTCATTTCGGAAAGGAACGGAACCAGTGTTAAGCAGAGGTGAACAGTGGTGAACAGTGCTTAAGTCAGTGAGAACAACTCAACAGTAACAGTCGTACCCAAGTTAACCTTCACACAGTGAGGTCGCAGGTACCCAGTGATAACGGCCCGTGAGACCCAACAACAACCAGCGATGTGTTAATCCGTCTACGATAGGAAGGCCTAAGACCAAACCTCACTCATATAACACCATCTGTGAGGGAATTACTACACCACATGTCCCTCATAACACCATATGTGAGGGAATTACTACACCACGTCAAGTCCCTCATAACACCATCTGTGAGGGAATTACTACACCTCGTGAGGTCCCTCATAACACCATCTGTGAGGGAATTACTACACCACGTGAGGTCCCTCATAACACCATCTGTGAGGGAATTACTACACCACGTGATGCCCCTCATAACACCATCTGTGAGGTAGTTACTACACCACGTGAGGCTCCTCATAACACCATCTGTGAGGTAATTACTACACCACGTGAGGTCCCTCATAACACCATCTGTGAGGGAATTACTACACCACGTGAGTTCCTCCTAACACCATCTGGGAGGGAGTTACTACACTACGAGTTTGCTGTTCAACACCTACATTAATCTGTATGTTCCTTTACCTTTCTCTAATGAAGGCTTTTGTTAAACCACCAATGTATGTAATAAGTCATTTATGTCCAATGTATATTTTCAGCCTTCGGGCTGCAGAACTTTTTCAATAAACCGTTAATTATTATTATTATTATTATTGATAGACTCCACCATGATATACTACCATGATAGACTCCACCATGATATACCACCATGATAGACTCCACCATAATATACTACCATGATAGACTCCACCATGATATACCACCATGATAGATTCCACCATAATATACTACCATGATAGACTCCACCATGATATACTACCATGATAGACTCCACCATGATATACCACAATGATAGACTCCACCATAATATACTACCATGATAGACTCCACCATGATATACTACCATGATAGACTCTACCATAATATACTACCATGATAGACTCCACCATGATAGACTCCACCATAATATACCACCATGATAGATTCCACCATGATATACCACCATGATAGACTCCACCATGATATACCACCATGATAGACTCCACCATGATATACCACCATGATAGACTCCACCATGATATACCACCATAATAAACTCCACCATGATATACCACCATGATAGACTCCACCATAATATACCACCATGAGACTCTACCATAAAATACTACCATGATAGACTCCACCATAATATACTACCATGATAGACTCTACCATAATATACTACCATGATAGACCCACCATGATATACCACCATGATAGACTCCACCATGATATACCACCATGATATACTACCATGATAGACTCCACCATGATATACCACCATGATAGACTCCACCATAATATACACCATGATATCTACCATAATATACCATGATAGACTCGATATACCACCATGATAGACTCCACCATGATATACCACCATGATAGACTCCACCATAATATACTACCATGATAGATAGACTCCACCATAATATACCACCATGATAGACTCTACCATAATATACTACCATGATAGACTCCACCATGATATACCACCATGATAGACTCCACCATGATATACCACCATGATAGACTCCACCATAATATACTACCATGATACACTCTACCATAATATACTACCATGATAGACTCCACCATGATATACCACCATGATAGACTCCACCATAATATACTACCATGATAGACTCCACCATGATATACCACCATGATAGACTCCACCATGATATACCACCATGATAGACTCCACCATGATATACCACCATGATAGACTCTACCATAATATACTACCATGATAGACTCTACCATAATATACTACCATGATAGACTCCACCATGATATACCACCATGATATACCACCATGATATACCACCATGATAGACTCCACCATGATATACCACCATGATAGACTCCACCATAATATACCACCATGATAGACTCCACCATGAGGGCGAGTCTCCTGGGGCCACCAAGATGGACGCCATCATGACCTTTCCTGGAAGGGCGTCTCCTCTCCCACCTCTCCTCTCACTCACTTTCCCTCGTTCTCACCCTCAGGTCACGCTCCTCTCTCTCTCTCTCA